AAATTATTAGGTGTATCATAGTGAAGTTATAAACCGGAAATATTTTAATTATAACCCGATTGTAATTCAACATTGACCTTTTTTACAGTGTGGGGAGTTGCAGCTATATTCACGCTTAAAATTCATATCAATTTTGAGATTATGTTCGTTTGTTTGTGGGTGGAAGGTATTTCCTGAAAAAATTAAAGCTAAGTTTGAGGTTATGTTCGATTCTTCGGTTAGGGGACCTTCCTGCCAAAATTTGACCTAAATTTGAGGTTATGTCTGTCAAACATATCCTCGGCTATATTCATAGTCTTGTTGGTGTACATATATTAGTATCGATGGTCTCGCCTACCATTCAACACGCGAAGCATTCAAACTTGCGTACAGTTCAGAATTAGTCTCGAAAATTTTAGAAGATTGCATGCTTCGTGGGAATTAACTGTAAAAAAGCTTTGCGTTGCAAATATAAAAAAATGTCACTTGGAATAATAAATATTAAATTTTCAACTGTGAAATTATTCTCTACGTAGCCAGAGTAGTAGTAACTGATTTAATATTAAAATAAATCATCGACTTTATCACCGAATATTAGCTGAAATTAATAAATATCATACTACCTCTATATCAGTATTTGCGTTCGAACTTTATTTATATATTTCTCCTGGACGCAAATAACATCAGCGGCGCAATTTACAGATTGGATTAAAGAAGACAAGAATTTACGACGGCGCAATTTACATGATAAATGTAAGTAGATAAAGTAGATAAAATTCGGGTCGAAAAAAAATGTTTACATGCGTCCAAAAAAATCTTAAAATTTAAGTTAAATTTTAATATTTTCAAACCTTTAAAAAATTAACTCTTAAAGTGAAAAGTTGGAATGTGGCGGTTGTCGCGCGAAGCACACAGGGGGCCTAGCACCCATAGTATATATGTCATATAATTCCTGTTCCCATGCGTTATTTATTCCCTAGGGTAAAAATGAAAGCCATTTTCATGCTCGTCAAACAACTAAATAACTTTTACTCAGTCTTCTGCTATATGAAATCGACACTTTTATGCATTTGGAATAAAAAATTTCGTACGTTATACGGAAACGAAGGCAGCCCAATTTGTGTATGATGTTTCTTGTGACACTCCTTTTGGTTTTGAGGCGCCCTCGAACTTCATTTGTGTCAGGAAAATTACCAAAAACAAATGGCTGCCTTTCAAGTGAACGAAAAAGGATTGACGTGAATTGTATTGAATTCACGAAGAGCTTTGGTAAATTCCGTTTAGCGACAAATACGAATTGGAGCTATGTTGCAATTCTCCTGAATTCGACAAGCCTCTATTGAACTGACAAACCCTCAATTCGTTCGATTTGAGTGAAGTAGTTTTCTAAGCTTTAATTCTTTCTAATTCGTCTGCACGAATGCAATAAATGCGTCAATTCGTTTGAATTTTGTGAGTTTTATCACTTTAGTTCGCTAAACGCCGCAAAGGAATGGCGATCATCTCTCTTTCTCGCAGTTGCCACACAGTGGTCGGAGAAACCAGGTTTTACGCAAAAAAGGGTAATTTTAAAATTGTAATAAATTAACCGGGATAAATGGATTCTTATTCACAAATTTATTGATAAAATATCAACACCTTTATAACATAAGTTATTTTTTTAATACATTATTCTATTAAAAGGGTATAAAAAAGTATGTCCGGGTATGTTCGTACTTTTCTTTTACACGTAGTGCAAAGTGTATTTTAACGATCTACGCTTAAATAGCTGCGCATGCTTGAGCCAAAAAAATGGCGGCCATTTTTGTTTCACTACTCCAACAACAGTGGTTTATAATGACAACAAGTGGATTATAACATTTAGTATTATTTTTATTTATGGTATATTTGACATCATGTGATGTCTATAATCTATAAATAAGTCAAGCCTATTGCTAAGTTACTGATAAAATAATTTTTAAAATTAATTATTAATTACTTTTATTATAGATAGTATAATAACTTACTTTAACTAAAAATAACAAAAATATAATTTAATAAAGCAAAAAACGAGTTTCTAATATAAGAAATGACTAAATGTTTGACACCATTGGCACAAAAATATTTAAAGTTATTAATATTGAAAATTCTAAAAATCACAAATAAATGATTTTTTAGTATCACATTCATGTTATTTACATACGAAAGTAAAAGAATATTACGTTTAGATCGATAAAAAATAACCACATACTTTAATAATCCAGCGAAAGTTTTGACTTTTTAGTCATTTTTGCCGTTCTGGACACGTCATCGCGCAAAGTATTTTTTAGCGTCTTACCGGTTCACCGGCACTGCCGTGCTAAGGAAAAAAGTCTATAACTACACAATCAGTGAAACGGAGAAAATCGACAAAAACTGTCAATAAAAATTTTCCTTATGTACAAAAGCATAGTGTATGAAATAAATACATTTTCTGACTAAATCGAACCCGCTCTTTTTAATTATGCAATAAAAAACAGGAATTACAAATGTTAGCAATTAGAAAATTAAAGATAATGCTTTTTTTAAAACAAATACAAGATAAAAAGTCGTTAAGAGTTCTTAATGCTTTTTTGTTTTGTAACATTATTCGAGTGCTTATATGTACTGCAAAAAGAAAAAGTCTATATCTTCTTGACAATCACATATACAATATGCATGACAAAAGGAGTCAAGCGCCAATTTCAAGATTTTATGAGAAGCAAAAAATTATTTAAAAATGTTGCTGATCGTTTAATGAAATAAGAAAACCATTTCGAGTTATTGTTTCACTAAAAAGAAAGAACTACTTTTTCAGATAAGAGAAAAATTGAAAAAATGGTGCCTCTTTCAGGTTATTTTTAATGCGCAGATTTTTTTTAAACATGAATTGCGAAAAATATCTACGTTTTAAAGAAATATATTTACACTATTAATGCTTTTCTTCTTGCAAATAAAAACTCCACTTGAATATTTTACAAAATAAGAAAGTCCTAATAGCACGATGCTTTTTTATTTTGTAACAAACCGCGCTCCCGGATGATTTTACATAATGAAAAAGAATTAACTGCTTTTAATACATTTCGCTGGGTTAGTGGAAAAAAAGGACACGTCTTGGTTAAATCAAACGGACGTGTCCTTTTTTCCCACTAACCCAGCGATTTTTCATTTGTATTCTATATCTATTTCTTGGCATTTTTAATTGAACATACAAATTTTTTGACAGTTAAGGCTTCTTCATTTTAATATTTTAACCTCTTGTAATGTTTTACAATTTAATTTAAAAATCCATTATATGATTTTTATATTTTTTTCAGCAGTACTAGACGCAGAAAATTCAGACGAATCGATTGGTATAAAAAACACAATTTTCATAAAAATGTCAGTTAGAGACTTTTTTCCTTAGCACGGCAGGGCAGACTTCACCGCGGCGAAGTGATTAATTTCCATATTTTCTTTATTGCTTGACTTCGCATACATCACTGATTTTAAAAGTGAAAAATGACAGTTACTGTGACAGGTGTCAACTGTCAAAGTTTGAAGTTCACATCAAATTCGTGATCACTGAGTCTCAAAATCTAATAGTTGAAATTTTTATAAACATTTTCATATTTTTAGAAAAAGAGACAGTTACTTTGACAGCTGTCACATGTCACAGTTTAAGTTTGATATAAAATTCATGTTCAGCTAGTCTGAAAACCTAATTGCTGTCATTTTTGTGGAAACTTTCCAACTTTTAGTAAAATTAACAATTACTTTTACAATCGTCAACTGTCGAATTTTAAATTTGACTTAAAATTCGTGTTAAGTTAGTCTTAAATCTTTTAAGGTATCATGTTTGTGAAGATTTTTCAATTTTTAGTAAAATTGACAGTTACTTTGTCAGCTCTTTCCGAATCAAGTTTTTTATTAAAGCATTTAAATTTAATTCATGTATCGACAGTTCAACTGCCCTAACTACAGAAATCTGCTTATTTTCTGAAAATATATTTTTCGAAATTAATTAACAATTTCTAGAATATCAAAGAACTCAGAAAAAACGAGAAATTGACTTTACCAATAATGGTCCACTATTGGGTGCCATTATTAAAATTATATTGGCATCCCTGGCTCCCATCATTGGGCCATTAATACGCCAATGCTATTTTTCCTATTGGAAATTCATTTCTATTCATTTCAATTCATCACAAAAAATTAAAAGGCATTAAAATAAGCTGCAAAGCTTATTATTTTAATCCAATTTTGTTTATTTTAATCCATTTTGGTATTAAAATAAGCAAAATTGGATTAAAATAATAAGCGTTGCAGCTTATTTTAATACCTTTTAATTTTCTGTGATAGTGACAAATTAGTAAGTAGGATTCAAAAGAATTCAACCAAAAGTCAATTCATTTCAATTCATTTTAATTAGTTTTTTTACTGGGTTGTTACTTTGTTGCTTAATATACTATTGTTGAATGATTTTTTTATTTAAAAAAAATTGCATGTCTGTAATATAAACAAGTGCGAAAATTTTCATATTTGTAAAATACACCAGTAGTAAATATTCAAACAATTACAAAATTTGATGTTCGTAAAACACACCAGTACAAAATGTTCCAAGAATTGAAAAACTTCAAAGTTTGTAAAATACACCAGTACAAAGTGTTCCAACAATTAAAAATTTTATGTTTGTAAAATACACCAGTACAAAATGTTCCAAGAATTGAAATAATTTAAAGTTTGTAAAATACACCAGTACAAAATGTTCCAACAATTAAAAATTTTGTGTTTGTAAAATACACCAGTACAAAATGTTCCAAGAATTGAAATAGTTTAAAGTTTGTAAAATACACCAGTACAAAATGTTCCAACAATTAAAAATTTTATGTTTGTAAAATACACCAGTACAAAATTTTAATATGTAATAAAAAACAACTTACCTGACAAAAATTTTTACTTCTGTAATATACACCAAAAAATATTTTTATGATATGTATTAAAGACATATGAAAAATATCTTTAATGAGAAAAAAATACTTTCTTCAAGATCTGTTTAAAACACACAATATAAAAAAAATTTTGTGTATAAATGAGACTGATTCTGGCAAAGCTGTAAGAGTAACACTGTCAGTTCTTATTATGCAATTTGTTCCTATTTGTAAGATCCCACTTCCTTTTATTTTAAGTTTTTTTGGCTGTTCCCTGTTACAACTTAATTGAGCTATTTCTGGTGCAGATACAGAATATAACCATCCACCTAGTGATAAAACAGGAGTCCAATAAGGTTGTTGGTTAGTGGATAGTCTGATGTCGCAGGTACGTAGTATTTCTAAAGTAGGTCTTCGTAACAGGTTTACTTCACAAGATGGTGATACGGTAGCGTCATAAATTGCCTGGTTTATTTGACAAATATATTTATCGTTGTTCATCTTGCAGCTATGAAGGACATTGTCATCTAGGTAAAAATATCGTTTGTTGTCTCGTTCAAGCGCTAGGTATTTACTTCTCGGCAAGATGTAGGCTCTGTCTGCCTTGGGTTGTCCAGTTTGAAGTATTGGAACTTGATGTAATTTATACAAATCATATATATCTTGTCCTAGTAACGGGATGTCTATCACCACAAGTATTCGTTTTCCTTGAATTCGTATCGAAACCTTAGACAAACGCATAAAGTCTATAACGTTAATTTGGGACATTGGAATAGGGAAGTCTAGCCCCGGCATCGCTTCTTCAATCTCTCTTGCTATGGTGATGATTTGATCTTTCGTTATCAGTGAGGGATGCAGTATGCCTTCTTGCGCTCCTCGAATTGTTGTTATTATCTCGTCCAGTCCTACTTGATATTCTTCTATTGAAAATTCCAATGCTAGAGCTGTCTTTAAAGCTAATGTTTCAAATTCAGCAATGATTATGTGTTGATTTATTTCTGTTAGATTTCCCCAATATTCTCCCATAATTTGGTGAAAAGCATTCATTTCAGATTCCCTTTGTTCGGCCACTTGGTGAATTTTATTTAATTCTGATCGCACAAGGTGAGTCTGCTCGTTCATAAGCTTCGAAATGTTGCTTTGCCCTAAATTTAATTCCTCAATAGCCTGCTCGTATCGCTTGCCATCCTCGTAGTTTAGAATGCCTGCAACAGGCCCAGCTATCTTACCAATGAATCCGAACCATGGTATGTTTCTTTTTCTTCTCGTTACGGTTGCTGGCAGTACTGTTTCTGTATGAAATTGAGAATGTTTTTTAAGTCCTTCTATGATTACGTTCAAGGATTTTTGTGTACGCGTAGCCAGCCTTAGTCGTTTGCTGATTCGAAGAAGTCCAAAAGTTTCGTCGCATTTAAATTGGGCCATAGTTAGACAACGATTACTTAATTCCGTCAATTTATGATTGATTGTATTTAGAAAGTCTTTAGACTGTTCAATGTCCAGAAAGGTAGTTGCTCTCCATATTCCGGCTGCAGGTTGCAAAGGGATGAACCTTTCAAAATACAGACCCAGGGTGGTATTGAATTCTGTATTAGAGAAATATTGGCTATTGGTTGTTAGTAGACATCCTGTCAGGAGCAAGCATACGATTAACAGCATGGTCAACCTGAAACATTGTATATATTTATATGTATGTTATATTTTGGCAAACTGATAGAAAGCTTACAAGTTGACTAACATTGCAATGGTAAACTTTAGTAATTTTTCTGAATGATGACATTATGAAATTTGCAACAATCTTGCACGCTTTGTACGGTAAGTTTCTGATGGTAAGTTTGTTGCAAATTTTCGAGTTTATTGGGCATATTTTAGTGGAATATATAAATTTAATATATTTTATTCACAAATTGTTAATGTTAAATTTTTTCATAAATGTAAAAATGATATTAAAAAACATATCTCTAAATTTGTTTAGCGAAAATTTCCGTTAAGTTTAATAGTGAGGGTCGAAGTTTTGACATTTTAAGTGACACTATTATTTTCAAATCCTCATAACTATCAAAACTTTTTACATTTTTGAAAGGATTTTTCCTGTACATAACCTCTATTTTTTAGTTTTGACAAATTTGGTCAATTTTTTTCTGTAATTTTATTAGAAAAATGAGATTTTTCAAACAAAAATGTATGAAAGTAAAGATGTGAAAACAATAAGTTTACGAGATAGTGTAAAAAACCCCTTTTTTCATGAAAAACTATTGATGGTCCATTTATATATATATATAAGGAATTCCACGTGAATTGATCAACTGGGAAAACAATGGCTTTTTTCTTGCAATTATTTTTTTCTCTCTTAAATATCAAAATAAATTTTTTTATCAATATCAGTTTCGAAAGCTTTTTTGATGATTTTTCGATTGGTAATACGCATTTCTGAAAAAAATTTTTGACCAAAAAAGATGAAATTCAGAAATAAATTTATCAAGTTCTGGTACAAGAACATGTCTCAATTCCTGATCCTGAACTTGTTCAAGACCATTACTTGAACATATACAAGAAAATTAGATTAACGGGGAATCCTACTTTACACGGTTAGAAGAATGAAAAAATTTTTTATTTGCGGAAATCTTTAGGTACTACATCTAATAATGTGTATCTAAAGTTATAGAGGCCAATCTAAATTATTTATGAACTTCCGAGACTAAACGCATCGAGAAGTTTGGCAGGTGTTTAATAAACATCTGGCTAAAGTCGAAGGCACCCCCCTTCTCCAATTTTATTGTCTATTCACGAATTTTTTCCCCCAGAAAGGCTCCTACTAAAGGCACTCTGTTATGGGTCTCGCACAACTCTTGTGCAAGATACTTTCTATAGCTATGTCCTTTTCTAAGTAATGGATATTTTGAATATTAAAAATCTGATTTTAGATTCGTAATCATAGTGACCTCGAAAATACCTAGATAACAAGTTTCATATAAATCCAACAATTTTTTAAACAAATTTAATACCACCAAAAATTTGACACGTTTTTTGAGGTTAGGAAGAAGTCCAGATCTCCAGGAGCGAAATGGACTTCAAATTCGTGTTTAGCGGCCCAAAACACATGAGGGTAGGGTACCCTGATCCCCGACACTTTTTTTGTGGGGCTGTGTAATTAGAGAAATATTAAGTCGCGTAAACTTTATACTTATTGAACCTCAAACTTTAAAGCGCGTTATTTTTGTGATCAATTTATGGTAACTAATTTAGTATTATCATAATTTTAAAAAAATGTAAAAAATTTTTTTTGGGCATTTGCAGAAATAGATTTTTATCATTAATAACTTCGTAATATTTTACAATAAAAGGTTCAATTATAGGTCAATTAATTCGTTTTTAAATATTCTCCAAGTTGTTCATAATAATTTTAAAGTTACATAAAAGTATTTTTAATAAATACCGTCAAGTGAGGTAACTTCAGACAGGGAGGTTAATTCCGCACCCTTATAACTTGTTGATTGAATATTTTACCGGATATTTTCATTAAAGCTTCCCATTTAAAAACTTTCTGACTATATGTTTTTATAATTTTGAAGTGGTATTAAGTTATTAAAAGAAAAATTTTAACTCTCTGGAATTAGCCTTCCTGTCCTAAGTTACCCTACTTGACGGTAATGCAAAAAGGCAAGTTTTTCAATATTTTTCATTTTCAAAATGTTAATAACTCTGAATAAAATAACTGTAGGATATTCGCTACCCTTCTAGAAAAAAACGATTAAAAACAATGGGAAACACTTTTCTTATTCTTATTATTAACTATTTGCGCATGTGCGTATATTGTTTTCCCTATAGCAGCCGATTAAAAACAATTGAAAAAGTACAACCTATTTTTCACGATTGAAAACAATTCGAATCAATTGAAAAAATATATACTCCAATTGAAAACAATTCAAAACGATTAAAAAAATTTTGTACTCAATCGTTCTGAATCGTGTTCAATTGATTTTTTCTGGAAGGGTAATATAGGTCAAAAATGCGTCTTGAAAACACTACAAAACTAGTGATAAATATCGGTTGGTGTCATAATACATTTTTTTAAGTTACGGAGAAGAAACTTTTTCTTTAATTTTTAAAAATTCAATAACTTTGGATAAAATATTAGTAGAATTTTCTCTAATGGCTCAAAAGATACGCCTTAAAAAACTCTACAAAATTAAAGAAAAACTTTCATAGGTGTCCTATCATTATTTTAAAGTTATGGGCAAAAAACGATATTTCAAAAATTTTTAAATACAAAAAAATAATTGTTAATCTTTACTAATATGGTTCAAAGTACTTTCATTATTTGTCCGACTGTGAGACCAACATTTCTTGAACATGTATACAAGAAAATGTACAAGTTCATTAATGAACATGCACAAGAACTAGTACATTTATTGTACAAGTTTTTCAGCCAGGGAGATTAGAAAGATAGGGGAAAGTACACTGTAAAAAGTAAATCTTATTTTAAGATGAGTCTTAAATTCAGCAGTACTAGCCATAATGTATTTAATTTCAAATTGCATGTAAATTCATTGCTTAGATTCAGCAAGGGCTGTCTTAAAAATGTTGCTTCTTAAAATAAAACCTCTTTTTGGCCTTAAAATAAGACTTTTTTTACAGTGTGAGGCAAAATGGGATAGTTAACGTTTGCAGCCCAATAAAACTAACATTACTTTATCTATATTTTATTATTTATTACAATAATCATTTTTGGAAAACAGTATTCTGTGACACAATCTTATTAGGGAAATTTGTTAAACATTTAAATATAAAATTAACAAAGTGTAGAAAAGTGAAATATGACCATATTGTCTTCCCCTGGTGGTAAGATGGGATTCCCTAAGAAGCAAGATAAGGTTGCGAAATGGCACTAAAAAGCTAACTAATAAAAGTATGATTTATCAAACAAGTAAACAAATGTTTACCTGCCAGAGTAGTCAGTGACAATTATAAAAATCGGACAAGTGCGAGTTACACTCGCACTGAAATCGAGGGTTCCGTACTCGAAGCGAACTTATTTAATATAAAAACAAATGTTTTAAAAATATGTTTTGTATGTCAAATCATATAAGTGATATAAAAAGGAACAATTTTGTAAAAAAACTTTTTTTAAATTGTTCCTCCTTTGCTATAAAAACAAATGTTTAAAAAATATGTGTTGCATTTTTCTTTCAAAAAGGCACTTTTTGGAAAGTAGATTGTTAATAAACAGTTAGTTAACATTGCAATTGTTTATTAACAATCTACTTAACCAAAATAATTCATATAGGGCTCGTTGGATGCTGAATTACGTTAACTATCAATTACAAATTTAAGAATTACGGTAACTTTATTTGTTTGTAAAATATTCCATTTGTTATAAACATTAATTAATTAATATCTCGAAAACAAAAAACAACGTCATTCCAGTTTTTTCGGGTATTGAAAGTATATATCTTCAGCTTCATTTTGAGGGTAAAAAAAAAGAAAAAAAGTGCCTTTTTGAAAGAACAAATCAAAAATATTTTTAATTTTCAAAAAAAGAGTTAATAGGCCAGTCAATAAAGACAAAAAGTGCCACTAATTGCTTACAGATTCTTCTAAATGAATTTTGGTAGTTTGGGGTGGTAGTATAAAGGCCCCATAGTTTGCTCTCGATTTCCGGTTGCAGAAATTGTTATAAACAATGGTCAAAGTTGGTGAAACGTGGTTTTTTGTTGCGCGTTACTTTCCTTTAAATTTTAGAGGAAAAAGTTGTGATTAAAAAGAAAAGGTATTAAAAATACCTACAAAATGGCGGGTCGGAAGTTAAAATCGGATTATTTGTTTAAAAGTTATTGAATTTAAACCATTAAAAATGGCACTTTTTTAATTGTTTAATAACTTTGTTAATAATAATCCGATTGAAGTGAAACTTTCTGAAAATGTGCCCCTCGCGATACTGAACAAAATGAAAAAACTTCGAACCCAATCGGATGAATAGTTAATAAATTATTCCATTTGTTAATTAAAAACATGTTGTTTTACAACCTAATTTCTACAGAACGATATGGAGCGAATTCAATTTTTTTTCTTTCATTTTACTCTTCAAGAGTGATACTATCATGTACATAAAAGAAAGAATTGAATTTCATTAATTAATTGCATAATTATGGATAGAGAAAAAAGGTTACTTTTTTTAGTTATAAACAATTGTAATTACTCGGACAGTTTTTACTCTATCGAATTCTAATAAACGCCATTAAATTTCTTTTTTCTTTACAAAACTTTCAAAAAAAAGAAAAACGATTTAGCTTAAAGAGGGGGAGAGATAATTTTTTATTTTCAAAAAATTCTTCACCCTATAATTATTAATATTTTTTAGTCAAATTTAAAGTACTTCAAGCTTAATTTACATACTATAAGATAAAAAATTTTAAACATTGTAGGAATTTTTTTTCTTATTTATAAAGTGGGCTAAAGGGAGTTCATCATTTTTCCTTGCTCCAAACGGCGGAGTGGGGGAACTCGTAGCGCGGATTGACGCCCGCTATAAAACTGAAATCACCCGTTCAAATTTACAAAAGTTGTTGTAAATCAGGTTAATTGTTGAACGATTTTAATCTTTCTTTTTTTTGATTTTATGTTATTTTTTCTCCTCTTTTCAAAAATGGAATTATATTTTTAATT